TATCTCTTACATCCGGTAAGTAGTTTGCAAGTAACGAGTATCAAACTGCGAAACGATCGTAAAGTTTCCACGGCTTTGTTTTATTTATTTGTTAAAGTTCAAAAGTTTAGACGGTCAGCGTTTAAGCCGTATCAAGCTTTGATTGCCTGCAAAGCCAAAATAATATGTCGATATTGATCGGCGAAAGGTTAAGATATTCAAAAACGGGAGAGCGAGAGAGAGAGAGAGATGAAGAAATAAGCTTTTGAAATTCCAGCGTATCCGTGCGATGATTTGGAGTTCTAACGGACGAAAAGGAAACGATAAAAACTATAAAAAAAAAAAGTAGTAAAAAAACAGGAGCGAAAAAAAAGAACGGAAAAAAAAACAATCTTTGTATTCTTGGATGGCAACTGACTTTATGACTGTCAGTTGGCTTTCTTTTATTTTTTATGTACAATTATTTGTACATTCAACGGGAGAGGGGGGGTTTTTTATTCTGATGTGCGCACATTTATTCGACTGTATCGAGACATTTGTAAATTATTATTATTTTCGATAAATCCGTTTCGGCGGAATGCGCATTCAACCGTTTTCGTTTAAGTTCGAATCGGCAGCACGACTTCTTCGGGTAATTCACTTACACCGAAACGCATGTTAAAATCACAGTACGTTCTCTGGGTAATCGCTAAGTAAATTAAGTTTGTTTTTTTTTTTTTTCTTCAAAGAGCAATCGTTGTTTTCCAAATCAGAGCTGGGATTTATCCGAATAAAATATATATATATTTCGGTTGAGAAAATGTGTGTTCGAATACATTTATTTGTAAATATTATTATTTGTGTACACCAATATTATTAATAGGTTGTTCGATAGATTTGTTTCAAATCCATTATTTAATCACGTTTTTCCCAATCTTTTTACAATATTCTTTCGGATTTTTCCGGTTTTATTACGTCGATTATTAAAACGCGATAAAAATAACTAGTGCAATTAAGATAGTGTACATATATATATATATATATTTATAAAATAGTATACAATGGTTCGAGTGTTATTGTTGTAAATATATATATATATTATATCTGCCAATCGCAGTTATAAAACCGTTTATGGTTATGGAAAAAAAATCCAGCAAAGAAAGGGGTTTATTATGTGGCGTCTGGTTCGGTCGTAGACCCGTGAGAATTATTATGGCCTAAAACGATAAAATAACTATCAAGGAAGAAAACGCTTCGACGCGAATCTGTAGATGGTGAAAATATTTTCAAAAAAATCACTCTGCCATGATGGCAATATTGTGTGTATAACGGTGCTGTAGGTTTTTTATTTATCAGCAAAAAAAAAATAAAACGATTTCGGATTTATGATGAATTATATATTTTTATAAACCACTAAAATATCTACTAATAACACTGAAAAAGTTATATATATATATATATATATATATATTCTCCCACTATTTATGACTTTAATTTACTTTTACTTACTGTTCAATATTAAAATATTTTTTTATGAAACAAATCTGAACGGATAAACTGTTGAACCATAAAAAATCCAAAAACAATTTTTCATTTGTTCTGTTTTTTTTTTTTAATAACTTTTACTAAATATTTTATACTTGTATTATATTTTATAAGACTTTTAAATAGCTAAAAACAAAAAAATCAAAAATTAATAAACAAAATATTTCTACTCTTTTCGTGGGTATGTAAATATTAAACGTAATTTTATTAATTTCGGAAAATCAGTGCTATAGTTGGAAAAAGTATGTGTATTTTATTATATTATTCAATTTTTCGTATTACAAAGGATGAATAGTTTTAACTACTTCCCTTTTAAAGTACCTTAATGATATCTGATCCATAGACTGTTAGATGCAGTGGCTGAAAAGTTAAAAAGAAAATAATATAACATGGTAGCCAGGACGAAAATAATACACATCATTACTAAATCCTCGTTTGATATAATTCAGTAATTAATTTTTCGTATTATAAATACGGTATATTGTATGAAATCAAAACTTGAGTAAAACTAAAAAAAAAACTGTTGATTCTCAATAAAATATTATTAATAATCAAGACCGTATATCCGTTGAAAGTTAGTTATATTATTTTTTTAAAACATACTACTAACTTGTTCTATAATCTCGAATTTACATAAAGACATAGTTATTTGTAATAATTATTTAAATGAAGATTAACTCTCTAAGGCATAAATACTATTAGGTATAAAATGTAATATAACAAAACGTCAAAAGACAACCAATGAAACGAGTAAATCTGCGTTTAGGGTTATTATTTCCATAGAATATTATGTTAAAATATAGTGTCGTTGATGTCCAAAACTGATACTTGACTTTTGCTCGAAGAACTTAATAGTAAAATCAGTTGGAACTATTTTGTTTGCAAGCTTTGTTCAATACGTGCTCGGTCGTGACGTTCGACGCCTAATAGTATCAGGTATTTTTAACAAAAAGTAAAAAGTACATCATTATGCAAAAAGTGCAAAAGTGATGTTTTATCCTCTTAAACGATGCGATGAAAAATCCCGATAAAGTCCTTAGACTCGGCTCGTGCTGCACCCATCAATTATGATATGGTAGCGTGACTATATTCATTGTAACGGTATTTATAATGTTTAAAGGGTTTAAAATACTACTATACACATTGTATGGCACGTTCCAAAGTAGATAAATTGTCTTTGTTTTAACGCACTTCACAAAATTGATTTACAATATTATTATTATTATGATGATGATGATAAAAAACGACGTATCTCGATTTTAACACAATTTCAAAAATCGCGCCCAAGTAATATTACAGCCACCGAACAAACGGAAGAGAAACTATATAATCTTTACACGGGCTCTTATGGGAAGAGATAAAATCATGTCCGGCATTTGAGAAATGGACAGTGCTGGTAGGTGTGGGGAATTTCTCTTTTTTCGTTCATTTTGGCTAAACTGTAATAACGCGGAAAATTGGCGACGACATATTAAATTGTTGTCGGTGTAGTACATTCAAATAAACGAGCAGCAGTGTAGCCAGGAATAGTAGAAAAATTAAAGAACGAAATATCCGCGTTTTGGCATCACTGCCTATTTCTCAATATGTACGATGATTGATTGATAAACTCTAAGATTCCTTTTTGTTTTTCCTGTGTACAGCTAGTTATAAATTACAGTTTTTCCGATCTCTCGTATTCTATTTGACGGACTAAAAGCAATTGTTTTACTTTAAAATTAATTTTTTTTTTTTAAATGTCGTCCGCGACACAGCAGATGTTTTACATTACCATCGTACAGACAAATATTACATAAAGTACCCGTTTTTGGCGGTATCTAATATTACATCGTAACTGAATACATAATCATGGCATTTTCAATTAAACTTACACATGTATGAATGCATTTTAATGGCGTACTAAAATATTTGAAATAAGGACTATGAATGGATATTAATTTACCCGCTTTAATGTGGCGATAACCAAAAGTTTAATTAAACGTGAATTCAAACATGGGCTTACAATGTCACTTGTTTAAACTTTACACAAAATATATATTTTCCAAAAAGTAAAGCCTCCGCCTTTATAGAGTGCTGCTGCGGGCGCCACGTGTCCACTAGAATTTCAATTATATGCAAATTTCTGTAAAGTATATCCTCATTAATAAAGAAATGAATATTTAAAACCCTTAACCATAAAATAATACACTCTCTGCGTATACCTATTTCGGCCACAACGTTGTCATCTTCAGCGCTAACGACAGACTGAATATAACGTTAGATATACTCCCATTAATGCATAATTTATGTTGATAATATTGTGTCTATTTAGAGAGTACAAGTACATTAAATACTATTATAATGAACGTAGATAGGTCGTAACCCTTTGGGTAATTAAATTATGATTTCACATATAGGGCGTCTGCCAACGATCCGATCGATCCTGATTTTGATACGTCACATCGAATGCCCTAATTTAAAATTCTCTCAACTCCATTGTCAGAAATGTCCAATTATATTTGATATTGTTAAGTATGCTCGATATGTGACAAACACATGTTAGGCATACCGAACAATGGGGTTGAAATTAGATAACGAATTAATTAGAAACTCATCAAAATGTCTATTCAAGTTTAAACGGTCCACCTCCTTCTTGCTACACTATTAGTGTTATTCTACGCCATCTAATCCCTGATCTCAACATCTTCATTTTAGCACTTTACTTTTCCTTTCGTCTTTCTTATTCGAACACTCACTTCATAAATAATTACTACTGTCTTATAAAACTTTCCCTTCAGCTTCGACTGCGTCTTTCACATACACACACCTGTTGTCTTTTTCCACCCACATCCAACCAGAGTTTATTCTGTTCGCCAAATCTTCTTCAGTTCCTTATTTCTTTCGCAAATCTAAAAGTCACACACTTATACTACTCTTTATTAATCAACCATACCGGGGTTTCACTTCCATCCTGAGCACCTTAATTAATGAAAAGTTTACAGAAATTATAATTATTATCCGTACTTTGCTGAAAATTATAAAAATGGTATACGATTTAATAGTTACAGTCAGTAATATGCTATTATAAATGTAAGTATTTCCCTAAATTATCGTGAATAATTGATTTCGATTGAAAAAATGTTTTTAACCAAAGACGTTAATTGGCTTATCAGATATATCACTTAGTCTTATCACCTCGTATACACAATACTAAACAGGTCTTTACAAAACGGTCATCACTTTTTTGTTTACATTGAAAGTGACCCACCCTTTTATTTATTCTGTGTACGTTTTTCCGTATAGGGAGTTACCAGACCCGGTTACAAAACCATTGAAATTGGGCTTGGCCAATTTAAATTTTACAGATAACATTTTATTATTTATCATGGAAAAGTAACGTAGTATTTTTATTTTCCATTATGTTTTAAACAACATGGCTGCATCCCAGGTCGCGACACATATTGAGTTAAGTGATAAGAGTAATTAAATTATTTTTAGAAAATCATTTGTTCACAAACCTTTTTTCAGTTTCGAAGAAGAAAAAAATCCGCGTAGGAAGTGGTTTTTGGACTTAAAACAACTCGAATGCGTAAGCACCCTGTATGAAGTAGTATCGCTATCTGTAAAAAAAAAAAAAATTATAATATTAATAGTAAAAACATAATGAAACAAAAACGCGATGCGGTCCAATAATAATTACACTAATTGATCGGAATATGTTGCATATTATTCTGCTTGGTAAATTTACTTTTTCCGGTCCCTTTTAGTAGGATTAAAATTATCCATATATAAATAAACTTCTCCGCCCTAACACGCGATCACAATAACGCTAATTGCCACTACGGCACGTTAAAACATATCATCTGACACAGGAAAAAACAAACAGCTGTCAAGCTATCTCATGGCCTACAATCATAATAGTGGTATTTGAAAAGAATGTGTTCAGTTTGTTTTTTAGTTTTATGAAAAAAATGATTGATTATTTAAAACACTTTTGACTTTTTTTACTCATATACCACTCGTGTTTGGATACAAATTACATTACAGGTATTAATGTGTTTGTACCACGGACAACGAAAACTCACAAATTTATTAACACCGTTTCAGCTGGTTGAACGTTGCAATACACATTTTGAATGTGCATATTATACAAAATGTCAAATCAACACTACCGACAAAGGTGCAATACTTGTCTGTCAAGTTTACAGTTTGGCGGGTTATCTATAATATATTTCAAGAGTGCAGTGTAAGAATTTTCGCCATCCACTAATCCGCATTGAAGAGTTTCTTTGAAAAGGGTACAATTGCTACATCCAAGTATTTTTAAGTATATTCAAACCCAGCATGACATAACAGAACAGCATAAACATCTATAAGCCAAGTACAAAACGAAACCAACAGAGTAAGGTGAAAATGACCTGTAACTTGAAGGTTCATTTATAGGTCAGTGATACAAAATAGCATATTAAAATAAATATTCACAATGCTAGATGACGACTAAATAACATCATGACCGACAGATTTAAGTAATATATTTGAATATAGAGAAAAAAATATAATTTAAATTATAGTGTGCTGATCGTGATGGTCTGGTATTTATTTGTTGATGCCTATACTACTAGTGTAACATTATGATAACTATACAACCGCATACCAACTGTTTGAGTTTTGTTTTGTGCTTTATATTTCGATCTAAAATAAACTATTTGATTTTATTTTACCGATATTTTTTTCTATATTTTAATTCTATACATTTTGTATTATACCTTAAAGCGTATTAAAAATGCTACCAGGTCAATTTTGGTCAAATATTGCCAATCCTTTGCCCTTAATAAATAGCGCTTTCCGCTCCCCTTAATATCTGTACACAATGCGAGCGAACAAAACGAATATAATAGTAATAACTGTAGACGACAATGAAATATATTTTTATGACCATACAACAACCAAGCTTATTCCTCCTAATATTATTTTACATAGGTATGTGTTGTCTTGTGTCCATATAATCAAAAAAATATCGAGTGTCGATTGTCCGGTATGTTGACAAAATATCGACATGAGTGGGTGTCAGAACCACAGTGTCTCTTGGAATTTCGAAAAGGTTTCCCAAAACGACAAAGCTTCATTCAAAAACCATCACTTACGTCCGTCGATGGTCAAAAATATTGATTTTATATTCGCCTTCAATAATAGCACTTGTGCTACTAAATATTAAAAAAATCACATTGGTTAAGTGCAAGTTATACATTGTGAAATGCCGTTATGCTGTATCGGGTTCATAATTATAACGATAATGCATACAGGTAATTATCATTTATTAAAATCTAAATAAACTCGTATAAACGAAATAATGAATGATGTAATAGATACTATAATACTTATTTTTTTATGTCGGCGAGGTTGAGCATAATTTAAACAAGATAGTTTACTTATTATATTTATCGATAAAGAAAAAAACTTTATCTCAGATAACTAAAATGTATTTAAAATAAGTTTCCTTTAAAATCTTTATTTAGGTGGCACGCCCCATAGAATTGGATTGAATACGTAAGTAATCTTATTAAGTGCAATAGGTAACTTATTAAGAAACAAATACTAATAATAACACATTTTTAAAATATTATAAAATATGCAATGTTGACTTTTGTTAAAATACTACATAGTATTTATGTTAACAATTTAAACGTCCCACCACTATGTCAGCTCCGCATTGACCACTTAAATCTATGCACTGGCTCTGTGAAATTCTATAAAATCGTCCGGTCGCTAGTCAACCGGACAAAATTAAATTGACACTCGACAAAACACTGTGGTATTGCTAGATTTTCAGTTATTTTCTTGTGTCTTGCAAATTACAGAAGAGAACATGTTTAATCGCCTGTGGATTGCCGCACCTCTCACCATATTGTGCCCAACGCATTGTATTCAGATTGCGGTACTAACTTTGTGGGGGGCGCATCTAAGCAATTGTATAACAAGTCAACCATGCTGATAACCGAGAGATTATTGCATCCCATAAACCTTGTGTTTGTAAGTTTAATTCCACTAGTGCTCCCCACTTTGGTGGCCTCTGGGAAGCTGCTGTACGCCCATCTAAGTTGTTGCTGACACACATGAATATTAATTTAACTTTGGAGGAGATGTCGACGGTCCTATGTTGAGTTTGACGGTTGGCGTTCGAGGTGATGTGACGTAGGGAGACAATTCATATATAATTTTTGTATATTGTTTACATATTTGTAACTGGACAGGGAAAATTCATTTATGACACGATAAAAACTAGATTATTTTTTTTCCATGATGCGACCGCGTCGTACCTCCATGCTTCTTGCTTAAAGATTAGAGTGCACTTTTTTTAATTTCAAACTGAAAAGAATAGTCTAGAAGTTGGACGGTCAAATATCAAGTGTCCCGTGTTGCTTACTTTATGGGTTGAAAACAGATAAAAATGACGGCTAAATGTCTGTGACGATGGTGTACCTATGTGAAACAAAATTTGTTCAAACGTAGTATATTATATGTTTAGATATAAACTGTCTAGATGTTGTATGAAGCATACGATGGGTTTTCTCGTTTTTTTTTTTTTTTACTACACTCCTATAATTGAAATACGTATATATATATATATAATATTATATAAACGTTAATAATATAATTTGTTTTAAATCGCTAGAGATTTTTTCTATAGCTGTTATTTCGGCCGAATAAACGAGACGCGAACAAAAGAGGAGGAAAACGACAAAAAGATTAAGTCGGTGGGTTTTTTTCTTACATTTCTCTTTTTGTCCTTTAAATCCCCCCGGAGCCAAATATCAATTATATGCGGTCAAATGGAAACAGAGCCAGTGTCTTTGCCTTTCGACCGAGTAATAACTTCGGTTAGAGAAGCCAAAAAAAAAAAAAAAAAATATATATATATATATATATATGTTTAAAAGATAATGCGATGATAGGGCGGATTACACGGGACGGATCGAGTGGCGTAGAACACAAAATATGGAAAGGCAAAAGAAAAATATGGACCACGGGTCCGTACGACTGTTATGTGCGGCAATGAAAAAAACACCGTTGTATTTTCACAAAACAAGTATCGTGTGGCCGAACAAATGAAATAACAAACGAGCGTACGTGTAAGTATAGTTTGGCCTATTATTGCCTACCGCGAAATGCGGCAAAAGGGAGGGGTCGGGCTAAAAAAAAAACAAGGGCAAGGAAAAAGGCATGGCCGGAAGATTGATGGTGTGCCGTTAAGCCGAGCACGTCTCTTGCGATTTCTGTTCGCGTCGTTTTTCTTCGGGACACACGAAATATAAAAAAAAAATAATAATAATAATAATAATAATCATAATAATACTCGACTGACGCGGTGAAAAACATAGAAAAATTAATTGCCGCCCTTACCTGACGTTTATCGTTATTGTATTACACTTGTTGTTGTTTACACGTATAATAACAATCGAATATATTTAAATAACATTAATTTCACCTGGCGCGCTTTTATGTAAATGCATACAATAGTATCATAAAGCGTAGATGTACACTAAAATTGTATATATATAACCCGGGGGGGGGGAGGGGGTTGCAATGAGTAAAATATTATGAAGCTAGTCGCAGTATGACCGCAAACGCGAAATTACATTTCTCTAGTGCATAATATTTTTTAATTAGTTTCACTACTGTGACCATGCGATACTAACGAAACATGTGACTCATCAGTTACAATACTATCGCATTATCATATGAAATTCCAATTCATCTACTATTGATTTGTATAGTCGATGAGGATTATACTGTGCAGTGTTTGTTTACCAACCTATAAAATAGTGTTTATTTTTATTTAAAGTGGTCAGCCTGTCGCTCGCTTCTCTTATTTGAGTACAGGGCATTCTATGATTTTACCGCTCTGTATATTTTTACTCTATGATATAACCACAATTATAATACATCTACGCTTATATCTTATAACTGCTATGCAATTTACAGAATGATCCGTTTTTAAGTATTTCCCAGAGGTTAACATTTTTAATTTAAACGGTAGCGTTTGTATTATACAATTGACTTTTTTTAAATTAAGTGGAATTTGCTGAAAAGAGGTGGAATCCCGTCCGAAATGTTAAGCTTAAATATTACTTTAAAGGTCATTATAAATTAAAAAAACCCTGGTTGACGACCTGTCCAAATATTTAGTAAATTATTCTCAATTTCAAAAATTCATAAAACACATACGTTTAAGTTTCGGAAATCTACAATTTACTGAAAAGATTAATACAAATTTGAACACTGTTCAATGTTGTAAAATAATATTAACTGAAACGTCTGCAAAAAGAGAAACTAAAAAATTTTAATTATTTTCAAAAACGAGAGTCTTCCGTTAAATGGATTACCCTGTATAGTGTATATTATATTATATACATAACAAACCATTACACGAAACCGCCCATCAAAGGGCTGTTGTTTGAGGGGCTTACGTTTCACATTAAATTTAATTAACAGGCCCCCTTTGCATTTTTATATAGTTTTGTAAGCATAAACCGCATAATAAAAACGAATAATAGTAATATAGATTTAACGGTACACGAGGTGTAACGTAAATCAAGAAAGTTATAAAATATAGTAGAAA